AAAACCATAGAGCTTAGCAGTATATAAAAAACATGTATACAAAGGTGAAACTGATCGGAGAAAATATGAACAGTAGAGGACAAAGTGACGATTTGATCGTGTATCTGCCTAATCATTTAGTATGAACGTTCACTAGGTAGAACCAAGCTTTTCACCGATAAAATCCATCTCTCAGTATAATTACTAATTCTGAAAGAACCCCATAAAAATGTTCATTTTAGTGACATAAAGTTGTAATCCTGTGTTGATTGAACGGTGTCAATTAGTTAGTCATATGCAATATAGAACCTGGAACATTTGTACATCAGTTCAAATTGCTGCACCATATTAACGCACTAAGACAAACCTCGGAGTAGTAGTAACTGTATCAGTGGTGCTAATGGAATATGATTCGAAAGGAATGGATTCATGGAATAAAAAAGAAAAGATAATATTGAAACTTAAGATCTACGGGTAAAAAAAATTGAACACATCACCCCCATTGTAACTGATTCTGAGCTAAATTATCCAACGTCTCCAAATACTAATTACAACAACTGCGAGGAACTCACTAACGTAGTCTGGATCCACCCACATGGCTTAATCTAACCGTAAATGAATTTGTGAACTTTTAAGTCTTAGTTTGACCACCCCATAAGTTTTCTACTTCCAATCAATTCCTACACTAGTCAACATCACGTGCCAAGATAGGCAAAAACTAAATTAAGTAAGATGGAATTTGAGTTTTGAGTAATCTGCAAGGAATAACAGTTAGTAACCAACTGAGAAACAAAACAAAAAAGGATAGTTGAATAAAACTTAAAAGTCCTTTAATTCAATATAGAATATAGATGTAGAATACAAAACAAGAATTCTAATGCTCCCTAACTAACTTTCAGGGCTAAATAATATACTTTGACAAATAATTAATCAAAATAAACAATAATGAATAAGATAGTCAATCCTCTTTAGGAAAAAAACAAGAAAAACAAAGGAAACGCCTATTTAATTAGTTAAGTAAAACCCAAAAATTGTTTTACAATATAAAATATCGGTATGTTATGAGGTAAGATGACAACTGAATTACCACATTCATTAAATAAAAGAGAAAAAGAAAAACATAGAATTTCTATTTGAATGTATTACATCATTGTCGGATAAGAAAAATACGGGAGAAAAAATAGACAATCAAATGTAAGTTTTAAGCATATAAACTGGAAAAGCACTTTTAAATTCACTTGATATTGTTTTAGTTGTATCTTCTCATTGTTATTTGAAACTGTGATTGATCAGGCATATATACATCCTGTGCGGATTGCCTTGATATAGTTTTAAGTCACAAGCTTTTTAAGTAAAAATGGATAGTGGCCAGTAGCGGAATCCAATTTGACGTGAGTTTCGTCCTATTTGTGACTCGTCAGTTGGATGTACTTGCATCATGGAGTTGATGTTCACTTTGGGACTAGAACCCAGTGTCGTTCGCTTCAAAAGACATCGCGTTATCCACTTAGCTACATTTAGCCAAACTTATTCTATTTGATTGAAACACACAAAAGGTCTGGTCAAATTTTGCCTATATATATGTTTAATCAGTAGTTTAAGATGAGAAATTTAATAGCCACTGATGTGAGACTATAATTTATGGACAAAATAGTCAAATTTTGGATAACGTGTCTTGGATGTTGGCACGAAATTCATTCACCCATTTGGCTAAATAGAGTCTTGGTATTATAGCTGATGTCAGTTCGTGATGAAAACCCTAAATCTGATTCTTAACCCTAACCGTTAGCTGTAAATCATAAGTCTAATTCTTCGTATTGGTTTATAACTGTCGTTTAGTACTGATTAATAGGTGGACATTCTCAAGGTCACTTTAGCGTCACTCAAAGGTCGTCCCCACGACACTGAAATACAAGTTCGGTATACACCAGAACATGTTCGAAATCTAGGAAAATGTACAACAAAAACAAGAGACAGTCTTGCCCAAATTCACGTAATCGGTAGTTAATGACTACGTGATGTATAGGTGGATATTTTTGATGACTGATAAAAAGAAGATGGTACAGATAAGTTACCTAGGTGGTTAGCAGTAAATAGGGGTAGATAGGTAAAATGTGAATACAAAATGAAAGTGGAAACGACAATATAAAGCTGGAGGAGAGCAAATACGGTAGACAAAAACAATTAGTGCACTGTTCGAAGCAAAGAGACTGAAAACCGAAAAATCACTACATTAATCCGTACAGAGATAAAAAAGTGAGTAGCAGAAGAACCAGGCACATAATGTGCATAGGAACTGAACATAGTCTATAAGTGATACTGAAGTTACACATTGACATACTGTTATTTTCTCCTTTACAGGACTGGTAAAACTGGAAAATAAAAATATTTTCTGTTTGGCACGATACGCTATTTGTTATATCTAGAGTTTAGATTTTCTTGTTATACCGCGTACTACTTGAGCACTGGAACGTTAGAACTATCCAAGTCAAAATTGAGAACACAGAAGACTAGTGAGAAGGCATGTTATCCCAAACAGTATCAAATATGGTACAAAACTCTCAGGTATTTATAGTATCTAGTAAAAGTGAAATCATTATTACAGTCATCCAATCCACGTGCAGTGGATTTTAACTTTTGTCTTGTAGGGAAACTCCACGTCGAAATTCTGGAACGTTCTTCCAAAAGACGATTGGATGGAATGCCTCCGGCTTTTTCTGAGGTTTTTACAGTTCATCCGGGGGCCATTCTCACACTTATTGTACGATGATCCGATCCGTGAACAAGATCTCATTTGCTTCCATTAGACTGGATACTCGATCGATATGCTATACACAGCTCAGGATCATCTTATACTAGATACAAGATCCACAACCGAATATAGTGAACTAGAATATACAACAAGATAATACTTTATTTAAAGCAATTACAAAACAGCCTACACTCAATGTGTTTAGAGTAGATATCAATAGTATGAAAGGAATCACATATTTAACAGTAAATTGAGTATCTGTCTATTTACACTCAATAGTTAATTACATATTACTTTCATTAGCCATAAAATAAAGAACCAAGCCACCGTATTTCTTCGTAAGCACATTTAAAAACAATCAATGTAACCTACTCCATAGGAATAAAAATAAATAATAATAAGATATACATAGAAGTGTCAAAACTCTATGACTTATTTTGTACACAAATTCAAAGCATACTTTCCGGCTGCGAAACATGACCATTAAGAGTAGGAGATACCTGTAAGTTGCTAGTATTTGATCACAGATGTCTTAGAAATATTGCTCGTATCTGCTGGGGTCATCGGGTAAGTAATATTGAGGTTAGACGCAGGGTATTAGGGAATGATGGTAAACGAGTTGATGAGGTTGTGAATCTTCACCGACTGAGATTGTTGGGTCACGTGTTACGTATACCTGAACACCGATTACCACGACGCGCAATACTGACTAGTGTTAGGGATGGTTGGATGACAGTTAGACGGGGTGGCCAAACCAAAACGTGGCATCAGACCATAAAGTCACTAACTTCTAGTCTGAGACAATGTTGGTAGATACAGACTACTTGGTTGTGGTCGGTGTGACTATCGTAACTAATGAATGGAAACTGTGTGTGACATGGCTCACAATCGATCACAATTGCGTAGGTGTATACACTCTGTGTCTTCTCTTAAACCGTGAGATGAAAATCGCTTCATATCTTTCTTTCTACGAACTAATTCTTCCCTCCTGTACTATATTCTTATATGCAATCTTTCTTTTATATATTACTACCATTGAGTTAACTACTTCTATGAATTTGGTGTTCATCTTGTTGTGCCAATGAGTGAAGTGTGGCAACTTGTACCGACGCATATATGTTCTTGGTCCTACGTTGTAGCTGACTGACTCACTGACTGAATCAAAGTTCTATATCACACGAAAAAATATCTAAGTTAAGCAACAAAATCCTATTGTCTACCAGTAATAACAAAATAATAATCTGATAGTTTTCATAATGTGAAACACTTTTCTGGTCTTGGCAATTTTTTCAATTAAAAACACACATAACACACACACACACAACTCAGTGAGCTTCATTCACCATAATTGAAAAGGGTAATTTCTTTTTTATTGTCAACTAAAGAGAATTAATTAAATTAATACAACTTATGAACTCCCCAGGTAGCTCTTCTATGATTACTGCCGGCCCCAAGCCCGGGTAAAAAAAGAGGGTTGGGCATGGGGGTCAGCAAACCCATCCTATATAAAACAACCTTGTTAAAAAAATGCTAACCAGAATAAACAATTTATAAATAATGTTATTGAAGAAGCATAAACTTCTAATTATGAGGATAGTAAATATGATACGCTGGATTTGTGATCATTCTGTATCATGAATGCTTTTCTCATGTTTTCTGCTCAGAAGAGTATTTAGTGGGAAAGTTTATAGAAAGAAAATTACAATCTTATCTCAAATGACGTTAATCGATATTATAGGATTATTAACAAAAAAACATGTCAATTTTATGCGTCTTTTTGACTTGAGTCGTCCGAAAACTGATCTCATTTGAAAATTTTTAAACGAGACTGTTGGAGGAGCTCCTAAAATATCCTTTGTCAAAGTCTCTAGAGGTCCAGAAACGCCAATAAAAATTTTATCCAATCAGCCTTGAATAGAATCTTCGCAAAAATATCTAGAAAATACAGAATCCCGCGCCACAATTTTGATTGGATATTTACCTATACTGCTACTATACTTATTATAGTTCCAGAAATTCCCAGTCCCAAGTTCGTGTGCAACCCCATAAATATCTTCGTTTTTCTGTACATCAACTAACTTTAGAGTAAAGCTTTTACTCGAAATCTGCTCCTTCTTTCTAGTGTTCCAGTTGATACGTAGTAGTTTGAGATTACCAGAATCGGCCATGAAGATAGTTTAAGTGTATGTATCAGCAGAGCAACCTACCAAAACTGCATTTAGAAGGTCAATAATTTGAAAAACAAAAGTACCCCCCCCCATTTACTTACCAACATGTTTTCATAAGTACACGTAATTCTGAAGGACATGTCACTGGAACTGGTAAACGAAGATTTTCGCTGCCAACACCCCATAGAATCGCAGTTGAATCAACATTATGATATGGAATTTCACCGGTTAATAACTCCCATAAAAGTACACCATAAGACCTTGAAGTAAAATTAGACCGGGACAAATACTCGTGATTATTTCATTGATTAACTGTAAATATTAAGCATTATCGAATACGTTAGGAATTATAACCGAATGAATGACAGGTAACATACATTTATCATGATTTCAACTATTGAAATTACTAAAATCTCCACAAAAACCCCTTCTGATAAAAAGAAAAGAACCTATTAGTTTAAACTACCCAGTTTCAGTACAGACATAGAATATGATCTCAGGTAACGACGCACTATGCACCCTACAGTTTGTTGGAAGATATGTGTTAACGAGATATTGAAGGAGTTTTTAGACTGCTACATACCAGGATAGACTTTAATAAAGAGAAACATATTACATCCATTATATATAGCTATCCTCAGGCAATCATGGGAAAATTCCATTTTTGCTAATAATGTTAAAATCTTGCAAGAAATGATAACTGTAAGTGTTTTTATTTCTAATTCAACTTTTCGCGTAACCTTTACCCGTTTCTGATTGGTTTCCAGTACTGTAGGTCCGTTCATTTTCTGAATATAGTAACAGGACAAGTAATCACCCAATCAGAAATGCGACTCTTCAGTTTGGAGATGTTTTTGAGGGACTTCTACTACACGTTGATTGGTTTAAATGTTCCCCTGAGTTTAAAGGGCCCCTCCGGACTTCTTTTTAAGGAATTCTTTGGGTCGCCCAACACCTTCCTTCATAAAATAAGATTTCATCTTTGGGTCTACTTGACAAATCAGTCATCAAGTCTACAATAAAATCATCTGCATTAGAATACCTTAATCGTTCTTTAATTAGTAAATATCGTTTGGAGCAAACGATAACCCTAATAAAAATAATCGTATTCATCAAGACTTAATAATACATATTACCTTATAAGCCCTATAACAGTTATTTAAATGTACATACACACTATTAAGTACAGATGATAGATACCTAAAATAAAGTATATCCTTTTCTCATATTTAATCTTCAAAATAAGGAAACAACTTACCATACATCAACTTTAAATGAACAAGGTTCATTACGTATTACTTCAGGTGCCATCCAAGCTACAGTGCCAGTAAATGACATTTTAGTAGAATTCTCTGTCCATTCACGAGATGCACCAAAATCGGATATTTTTAATACGTGATTATAACCGATTAAAACACTGAAAGATAGAAAATATTGTGCAACAACATTTGAGAAATATTTATCATGATTATAGTAATGTATATTAGGATACGTGGTTTGTGAAAGTATAAGCGTAGGCTGCATATTTTAGAACATATGTCTTCAAATCATTGCTCCATTACACATACATTTCAATTCTAATTTTTCGTAAGATACATCTAATCCTTAATCTATCTCATTATCACTACTATCACACTTCTTAGATTCCTTCACACTCATTGTGTTCATCCTCTACCACTAGATTCAATTGTTGACTAAGAATATGAAGATGATATAGTTCTGCTTGGTGAAGACGTTGATTAAATGAAGTCTTCTAACCACTTTAGGCAACAACGCAAGTAGGTTTGCGATGCGGTTTTCACCCTCAAATATAAAATGTTACTTCAGGATTGTTGGGGGAAACTACAGAGTAATAGAGGTAGTAACAGTATTAGTGGTAATAGAAAAGATTAGGCACCAAAGATGCGACTCAAAAAGAATTAGTGAATTAAACAATTCTGAGGAATTCAGAAGCTTAGGATCTAAGGAAAGATGGAGAGTGGATGCACCTGGGTCATTGCAAGCAATTTTGGGCTATGTCATTCAAAGTCTCCAACCATTTGTTGTGATAATTATGTGAACCACAACCGATTAATCTACACCTGTTAACATGGCTCAGTCCAATGATCAACGACTTTATAGACTGTTGGTTTTATCGGCCCTAGCTTTCATCCAACCTACTCCTGCACTAAAAAACATCGTCCGTCGAGGTAGGCGGTGATTAGGCATACGCAACACATATGCTAACCATCTGAGTTGATGACGATTTACTACCTCATTATTACAATCGAAGTGAAACATAGATACAGAGTATAACAGAGGCTTATTCTGTAAAACTTACTTTGGTGATTTGAGATCTCTGTGAATTATTTTACATAAATGTAAATAATGCATTCCATCGGCGATCTGTTTAACCCATGAACAAATCAAAGATGGTGATATAGGGTTGCCTGAGTGTATTATTTCATACAACTGACCATATGGACAATATTCCATAAGTATACAGTAACACGGTTGTTCCACACAAACTCCTCTAGAATTAACCAATTAATTATACGGAAAATGTATGAAAAATACGAATAATTTGTAATGATATTGTAGGAGATATTAAATCTTCAGATATAATATAGTAAAGAGAGATTAAGTGAAATCTTGTATATTGACTTTGTAAATGTGATTTCCGCAGTCATTTAGTGTCGCAACAGTTCCCGGTACCTTTACATGGTGATAAGGCTTGTATTTCGAGATGAATAAACTGAGCTAATATTTGCTAGAATATTTCTTTTCCTTACGTCTTATCGTGCCAGGTAGATCAGTTGGAAAACGGTACGATTAAAAGTAGCAACTCAGGGTTCGCGAGCGAAATCGTACTACTGACCATACTGGGTAGTGATGGCAGTGAAGTGTATTACTCAGACAACCAGTATTTGCAGCAATTTTATCTTTCCACAGCAAAGAAAAAAAGAAGTAAGAAAAGGTCAGTCGTAGAAATAGCATAGTTAACCTTGCTCAATGAACTTACGTTCCCGGTGGTAAAGTTTGCAAAATATGGAGCTAACAAATCAAGAACTATTAGCAAAAAGGCTATGTGTGACCTGCATCAAGCAATTATCTCTTGGGCTGATTGGTCATGCTGTCAAGTCGTCAGGAAATTCCTTAATTTATGACTCGTTAGATGGATATACCTGCCACATCCCAGAGTTGATGTTTTCTTAGGGACACGAACCCAGGGACTGATTAGTTGTAGTCCCCAACATCAATGGAAAGATTTAAATAACCAACATAAATTATTTAAAAGTCATCCTGTTGCACAAGTCAGTGGCTATCCGAATTCTGTAACTAAGTGGATAATGCGTTGAGTATTTGAAGAGAATGATAGTGGGTTTGAGACCTGGAGCGAAAATCAACACGGGCGCAAGTACATCCAGCTGATGAGTCCTAAATGGGACAGCAAAATGAGTTATAAAGTTGAATAAACTGAGAAATTATCGAGACTAGGAGAAAACGACTATCCATCGTTCTGCATCATTACAAAATTTGACATCCCCTAGATTTCAACAGATTATCCAATTACTTCATACTAATATTTCGTGATGTAAAGCACAAGATTTAAAATTCTCTACAAATCCTCTAAACTAACATTAATCATTTGCACACACTAGTGACTAATTTCTAGAAGTTCTAGTGAGAAATCACGTGAAGCAGTTATCCACCGATGATAATGGATGGTCACCTGAAATAGCGGATGGACTGCAGTTAGAAACGTAAACTACTGGACCCAAAATCAATGGTTGAAGATTAGCGCGCGTCAACAGACCTGACAGCTCTGGGTTCAATCCCCTGGAGTGAAGTTATGGATGAGCACTGTTGGGAAGTCTGATGCTAGAAAATAGCAGTTGTGTAATGCTTCCTTGTTTTCAAAATTTGTCTTGCTAAGATCAGTCCATGATATAAACTACTAAATAATTTGAAATTATCAATCACTGAAATTTGAACTCAATGGCAATGTACTTTATTGTAGTGCTGTTTTCAATCTCACTAAGAGTAAATACTGCACTTAATGAGTTGAAGGTTGTGACTGATGAATCGCTCATTAAATTGGTGTTATTAATGGTTGACTTCCTGACTTCAGTCAGTGACTAAAGCTACATTTAATCTTTAACATAAATATGAAGGAAGATATTCCCAGAAACATCAATAATGACAGATTGTATCACAAAACAATTGGATATTTAATAATGAAAAACTAAACAAAAGTCATTTTTACTTGAATTTAATAACGTTCGGATGGTTTAAATAACGTAAATGACGAATATCTGTGTCAGACTGTTTATTAACTTTTTTCACAGCGATCAATTCATCACGAAAACAACCACGAAAAACCACACCTTGTGCACCAGACCCGATCCATACTAAATCGGTCACTGATTCAAATGGGACTTCCCATGGTAAGTCTATTTAGAATAAATGAGAATTAAGCAAGTGATTAAATAAAAAAGAATACTTTCGCAACACAGTATTATAGTTAGAAAACTTTATTCGAGGTATTGTAATTTACAACGTCACTTGATAGTAAATTTGGCAACGACTAGATCTTCAGAGTTGGTTATGAGGTAAACTGTAATCGTTAAGATCATTGAAATGATAGAACAGTAGACTGACTTCCATAAAATTGATTTTGTACTCAAAAATTTGTTTAATAATCATTATTTAATGAAGTTTTGTGTGTAAATGGTATTGTAAAAGAGCGAACAAAGTTTTAAGAACAATTAGGAGTGCTTCACTAATCGGGATATATATTGGATTATTATTAAATTTTATGTTTAATTTACACCTAACTAACTAATAAACGTACAAAATACAGTCACTTGAGTATCTAACTTTGATGTAAAGTTACTGTTTCTCGACTACTGAACTAAACCCTGATGAATAATTAGAAAATGAATCATAAACTAAAACAAACCGTATATGTCCATATGCAACGTTATGACGCACGATGTCCGAGTTTGATGCTGATATATAAGATTTCTATACGCAAGCCCCAAAGGGACTACTGAGTGAAAAGACTACGAGCGGAGAAGGGAGTTAATTGGGTTAAACCTAATCAATTGCATAAGCACATATATATATATATACTTCTTAGGAAACGAAACCATTTCTTGACCAAAAACATGCACATATCATTAAACTTTTGATTGGGGTAACGTGACATTCTCATTTGGCGACGTCTGATTAACCCACCGTATCATGCAACACTTAAGTTGTGCTGTGTGAATTATTCTATTTTTTATTCAGTGTTACATGGAACTTTTCAAACCACCTGTCACAACTCATGTTAATAAGCAGTAAAATCTCGATAATTAGGTAGATAGTTATCGCCAAGACATAGGACATTGTATTTCTGAGTTAACAAGTTCGTAAACCTATTATGTTTTAAATTGACCACCCATATTATTGAACTATAACACGAAATAACATAGAAAGATAGTAAGATTTGAGTTTATAAAAAATAAACCAATTGAAAATCACCTTGATCTGATGAGGGAAAGGACTTCTGTTTTTGGATAAGATAAATAAATGGGCGAAAACAACTTAAAAATTTATCAAATATATTCCGCTCCGTTAAAATGTTTTTTATGCCAAAGTCCTTATTAATATGATTAATAGTGTGAGTAGTAGAAGTGGTAGTGTCAACAAATGGGTCTGACATCAGGACATGATTATTTAAAGTGTTATTAAATTTGTTCATACCATCTCCGACGACACTGTTATGATTAGAATTATTAGGAGTAGCAGTAGTATTAGTATTAATAGAAGTGGTACCAGTATTGTTATTACTGGCATGTTGAATAGATTTCGACCGACTACACACAAACTGTGCCATAATATTTGTTGCTGAATGGTTACTACAGTTATTATCAAGACTTTTATCTTCATTACTGTTACTACTACTGCTACTGATTCGACAATTAAATACTGTTGGCTTTCTTGTATTCATATAACTTGTTAACATGTTTAGAGATAATTTCTTTAAAAATGATCCACAGACTAGGATTCTCAAAACCAATTTGGATTATTTGCAGGAATCAAATATGTGATCTTGCGTGTAAACTATCATTATTTATAGCGTGAATTCATTCTACCTGATTGTATGCACAGTTTGATAACTTTAATCTGTAATAAATAGTTAGAAAAATAAAAACAGACTGAATGTCTAATTAACAGAATAAACTTTAAATACTTATGCTGATTATGAGACTCAGTGTTTTGTGAAGTCATCGGATCTGTAAAACGGCCACCTAATGTAAGCATGATTTCCCAAATTCGTTTTCTTGAATCACACTTTCGATACCTAATCTGTTCTACTATCAGCACCGATACTAGTACTACTCCCACCACTATAGCATATTGCTGTGATGTAGTGTGGCAGCTTGAACAGGTATACAGATATGCCAGGTTTTATGTTCCATATAGCCAAACGATTGATGAAGGGGTTTCAGTAGAAAAAATAACTGTTCAGTGGAAATGAGTTATATATATATATATATATATACTACGCAAATCGTCAAACTGCATCACGAGACAAGCCCTAACTCGGAATCCTGAAGGAAGGCGGAAAAGAGGAGGGCCAAAGAACACATTACGTCGGGAAATAAAAGCAGATATGGAAAGGATGAATAACACCTGGAAGGGGCTGGAAAGGACTGCCCAGGACAGAGTTGGATGGCGAATGCTGGTGAGCGGCCCATGTTCCTTTACGAGGAGTAACAGGCGTAAGTAAGTAAGTAATATAAGCGAGCGAAATACTTACACAAAATATTTTACATGGAAGAGGCACGGTTGAAGTTCATTCTAAAATGTGGATGATTGTAAGATACGTTTGTCCTGAGTTGCTTGCTAGCCTATAAGGTCAAGGCCTGACTATGCCTACTCACTGTCTAATATACACATACATGAATAAATGTAGAAATACACATATTAGACCTCCCATTATTCCGTATGCAAATGTTTTCCGCCTCATTTTATGAATGTCCACAAGTACGCACTATTTACATATAAACAGCAATAATTTGCTTGCGGAACATGTCAATTACTCTAGTAACTACAAAATCCTCGTGATGTCATATGACACAAGCTTGTGATTGAATTGGGTAGACAACCAAGCACATTAAAATCATGAGTAGAAGCCAGTACTTACGCATTACTGGCTCGTAAAGAGGATTTAAGAGGAGCAAGAAAATGATAACTTAAAACCTACCTTTTTTCTGTAAAGGGTGTGTGGCGCCAGGTCCGTATGGTCGTCTAGGTGAGGGGCGAAGGTCATTAGGCAGACCTCACTCGATATCCAATGTCTAATATTTTATGTACTCGGTTCAATATACAGTTTCAGTTTGGAAGGGATAGAAGGCTAGGTGAGCTATGTTAGTCCTTGCAATGATGGTCTCTCAGTTGATCAAACTTACTTTTGAAAGCATCAACAGATGGACCTTCAATCACATGTGGCAATGAATTCAATTCGTTGATGATTCAATGGTAACGTCGATAGTCACCTAACACGTAATTTGTTTTGAGCTTGTGAACTTTTTTAGATTGCCATCGTAAATTCTCCGTTTTAGAAGACGAGAAGAATGAAGGCGCACCAGATTCAAATTTATCACTAAGTAATTTGAGAATTGTGATCAAGTCCCCTCTGGATCTTCAATATGACAATAAAAATAGGTTTAATTTAACCAGTCTGTCATCATACGGGAGCTTTTCTATTCCGGATATCAGCTTAGTTATGGTTCTCTGATTATCTTTCAAAAGTTCACTGTTCTTTTTTAGACAAGAGCTAGCCCTTTGTATGCAGTTCATGGGTTTAAGAAGCATGAACACTCTAGCGTTGACATGGCTAAAGACCCTAGATATTGACCATAGGGTTCCAACACCTTTGACGGCTATCGCATGGTAGCGTATAGTAGTTAATAAGTCGGTTGTTGACGGCTCCAAAGTCATCACGTGTCTAGACAACAGGTAGCTCACTGTTATTCACCGTATATGTACAAGCCAAATAGCAGTGAAAACGAAGATACAACTCAGTGGCTCACGGAACCAGCAAAATCCATTAGACAAGCTGGACAGTAAAGGTTGGGTATGGGAGAGATGCTGCTGTACTCCACACACTCAGGAAGTTGCACATATACGATGGGAATCTCATGGACCCAGGATCATCAAAGCTTGGGAAGTTTTCAACAGTGTTGCTGAACTGGATGAAAGATGTAGTAGACGCCAAACTTCAAGATCAACAGGCTGGATTCCGTAAGGATCGGTCGTGCACAGACCGAATTGCGACAATACAGATTATAGCCGAAGAATCAGTTGAGCAGAACTCGTCACTATACATCAATTTCATTGATTACGAAAAGGCATTTGACAGTCTAGATAGGAGAACGTTATGGAAACTTCTTCGACACTACGGAGTTCCAGAGAAGATTGACAAGGCTGTCTACCCTATCCCCTCGTCTTTCTTTTGGTGGTTTACTGATTTATGGAAATCTCGACATCTGAGGGAAAGCACGAAATACAGTGGATATCTCCGAATCAGTTGAGCGATTTGGACTTCACAGATGACCCAGCCCTTCTATCCCATACACATGAACAAATGCAGATAAAGACAGCCAGTGTAGCAGCAGTCTCTGCATCAATAGGCTTCAACATGCACAAAGGAAAAAACAAGATCCACAAATACAACACAGAGAACACCAACACAATCACAATTGATGGAGAAGCTGTGGAAGATGTGGAACCCTTCACGTGCCTGGGAAGCATAATCGATAAACAAGGAGGATCAGATGCAGACGTTAAGGCTAGGATTGGTAAATCAAGGGCCGAATTCCTACAACTGAAGAATATATGAAACTCAAAACAACTATCAACCAATATCAAAGTCACAATCTTCAATACGGACGTCGAGGCAGTTAGTCGTATTGTACGGAGCTGAAACGTGGAGAACTACTACAACCATCATCAAGAAGGTACAAGTATTTGTAAATAATTGTCTACGCAAGATACTCAACATCCGTTGGCCCGATGGCATTAGTAACAGCCTACTGTGAACGAGAACAAACCAGCTTCCATCTGAGCAAGAAATTAGGAAAAGACGTTGGAAACGGATAGGACATTACACAAATCACCAAGCTGTAACTTGAAGTCCTGGAGGGAAGAGTAAAAGAGAAAGGCCGAAGAACACATTACGTCGGGAAATGGAAGCGGATATGAAAAGGATGAATAAAAACTGGAAAGGGCTGGAAAGAATTGTTGAGGACAGGGTTGGATGGAGAGTGCTGGTGAGCGGCCTGTTCTCCTTTACGAGGGTAACAGGCATGAGTAAGTGAGTAAGTAATATTTCAACAAGTTAAAGTAAAAAGCCAAAGCATTGCGTTGGACAAACAAAGGACTGCATATATGGAGGTGACTCGAAAGGGCCGAATGTTCAGGACTATGTGTATTTTTAAGATTTATTAAGGAAATCGAGGCGTTTCGGTACACAAATTGCTTGCTTTTCGTCGAAATTATTAATAATTTTTTTATTATTGTAGTGTTATTGATTCTGGGCACACGATTCTGGGAGCGAATCGTAAGATAACATGTAACACTTAGAGAAGGTAAATAATAATAAATTCTCAAATGACAATATGTTATTTGAGGCATGTCAGTTTACAGGTAAGATCAAGATTTTACAAGTGCTTTATTCGGTTGTTCAATTATGTCTATATAGCATAGGCTATTGGGTAACATAAACAGAGGATAAATTTTCATACATACGAATAATAATTTTGGTGTGACTCTAATGTTTACTATGGAAGTTGGTATGCTTTGTGCGGATTAAGTTGCGACAAGCAATCGGTTGTCGAGAATGAATGGAAATAAAGTTGAGTGTAGTCAGACGTAAACGTCAACTCAAACGTATCAGTTTGTGCATCTCGATCGTGATCCCAGATAAATTCCAGAGTCATAAGTGATGGTGTAGTGGCATTGGACAATAGCCACACAATCCACAAAGCTGTGAACACGAGACTACTCAGAAAATAGATATTCAATATTTAACTTGGGGAAATACCTAACAATGGAAAAGGCGCGGAGAATGAATTGAATGTACTGGAGTTGATCGAGTGGCATGGCTCGACCATGCAGGCGTGGTCCATCTCAATGTTACTTTATATCTTCTACTCATATTAAATATATTGTTCTTTCTCTAGCCTAACCTTGTTCTACATCATGTATTGGTAATTGATACGATACAGTGAGTTGGTGTAGTCGATGGTGTGACTTCCACGTAAGATCTTATAGATTAGGCAGTTATATCATGACAAATCTACAAATTTAGGATTAGGTTCATTATTAGAGCAGTACTAATATCATAGTAGACCATAGTTCCACATTGGTGAGCCCAACTAAAGAAACGCAACCTATTATTATTAATCCTTATTTCCACTTCAACTTTCTCGATCGATTTATATTTATGTTAACCCTGTATTCTAATAGTCCTCTGATTAATGCTCACATGCATTATCGTAATGTTATATTGATTAGTCCTCATGACAAACTAGCTCAATCGATAATAAAAACTGGTTGTCTATATTAACTAATTAGCTTTGATGGTTTGTTAACAAGCTGTAATAGCATTTACATGCTTCAGCGACATAGTCTTGTTTAAACATCAAGCTCTAGCAAATATGACCTGTAAATAGCGTAAATATACATTAACTAACAATGCAGCAAGGACTAAATAGTTACCTGGATCTAATATTCAGTGTTCCTTATCTTATTACCTCTTCCTGTTTTAAACTATGCACTATCATGTAATATCTTTTCTTCCGACCACTGCCTGCCTAATTTCAAAGTTTCGAGTTCCATTGCCAAACAACAAGGATGACACTTCTCCAAAAACATACGGTGAGTTCCAGCTATAAGTTTTCTGCAATCATAAGGTCATTTTTAGATGGTTCGTTCAATGACAACCACACAATTATCTGGGTTTATTCGATTGTTCTGATCCGAGCGAGTGTCAAAAACCTCAACAGCATCAAGCACCCTGGAATTAATTGCCATACTGCATGTTTTATTCTGGATGCTTTTGGATCAATACTACTCACGAATGGCGTTACATATGTCGTCCACTGAATAATCTAATTTTCAAAAATAATCCAGGCGAGTTTAACTATTTTACTGAATGATTTGTTTTGTACTTAACATGTATATATTTTCCAGTTGCTTTTGCTACATATTTGTAAGTGTCCCTAGGCTAAATCCAGTAACTTCTTATGGAATAGTTATAACGCGTCATATTCCTGCCTAAAGTTTCATAAGCAGTCTGGTCGTGTTCATTATTTTTAAATTGTCATATACGTCAACAACCTGCTTGTTAACCTGGCCCGTACATGCGTTGCACTATATCTTCATGTCTTCCAAATTTAGAAATCATCTGAATCGCCATTAACACTTATCAATAAACCCATCGTAGCTGTTCTTACTAATCGTATTTGGGTTTATGGATTGGTTTATCATATTAGCAGCCTAAAATGCGAACATAGTTTAGATAATAAGATTAAAAAATTTAGGTACTGTCAACTGCACTAATAAAATAACTAAATCCCCAGGTAGCTGTTGGCTAAACAAACGTTTAAAATCAAAACTCCGTAGCCTACTAAAATTAACACTAAACGAATATTTCTGAATTGAAATTTATAATTAAATTAGGCGTCTCGGATTCTTTAACGTTATAAGTTTCTGATGATTTCGAATCACCTAAAGCAACAATACCTATTTTTCCACTGACTAATCCTCAATCAACACTATAACTAGCTAAATTTAATAGTCTCAGGATATCGTCATAAAGCATTGTCATAACTTGACAATCACATAATATGACTGATAAAATTAATGAAACTGTTAACGAAATCGGTCAACAAATTGACTTATAATTATCACTAGTGTTGTTTTTCTTTTATCTTCATTCACTACAGATGATTACAGTATGTTTCTCTATCAGATGCTCACTCAGTAAATATCTCGAAACCTTGTCAGTCTAATTGATGGTTTAGCGACACAATCATGCATGCAAATAATCAGTATAAGCAGTCGAGCAAATCTCCTGCAAACTGAAAACATCAATGTCGAATTTACCCCAACACTGACTAAGGTTCAAGCCATTATCATAGACATGAGTTGGGAGTGTACTCCCCCTGGTTACAACTTATGTTCTCTCTGATAATCACATGAGCATCACTCACTATTAATCATCTTGTAAAAACTTATTTAGCTAAATACATCTTGCAGCACCACATCACTTCG